TGAATTTTGACAGATATGATTGCAAAGTAAATTAACTTAGTGAAAAGTCTCACCGCGTGACCGAGCTCTTTTAAACAACAGAAATATGAATTCTTAACTGCGTATTACGTTACATTACCCCAGAAATAGTGTTCGGCGTGGAGAGGAACTCCCTTTTGAAACAGACGGGGATGCTCATCATCTCGCTCAGAGGCATAAATTTCGGATATTTGGTGTTCACTTCAGCTGAAATTGTTTGCTTTAAGACAATAATTTGACCCCAAATACGAACTAACTTAACACCAACTTACCGAGGCATAATAATACGGATATTGAAATCTAGGGCCCGTTTCTCGAAGGTCCCGAAAAGTTTTCAGACCCGGAAAGCCATAGCAAAATCTCGAACCGTATGAGTACAGAGCTGTTTTATTCGCATATTCTTAATATGAACAGAGGTTCCCTTCATACAAGAAGTTTCAGGCGCATACACTTCTCCGCTTTCAGATACAGAGGAACTAAAAATGGCTTTACGGGCTCGAAAAGTTACCGCTTTCGAGAAACGGGCCACTGGCCCGATACCTGACGTCTGATTTGGCTTAGAATGTAACACGAACAGCGGTGATAAACATTGTGATGAACGTATTCAAACTCATTCTTAATCAAGCTACGATGCCTAAGAACAAGAGTTTATACGATTCTGATTTGATTAAGTTTGACTCGATTTCCAGGGAAATAAGTTGCACGTCGAAAATCGATCCTTTAAATTTTGGAGTTCAAAGTCGGAAGTCGGAAGTCGGAAATCAGAAATCAGAGGTCGGAACTCGGAACTCAGAAGTCGGAACTCAGAAGTCAGAAGTCGGAACTCAGAAGTCGGAAGTCGGAACTCAGAAGTCGGAAGTCGGAAGTCCCTCCTCGGCTTTCGTAGGTCAGACCTGTGTACAGACGCCCACTGTTAAGCGTCCATCGAACTGGTGCGAGCTTTAAGTTGTTTCGACCGTCTGGACGATCCACTAATGCCCTACTTACGCTCGGAAAATGATGTCATTTTCGAGTGAAAAGGAACTAGGATTCTCAACAGGATAGCCCGGATAAATTAAATAATTCTACACAGATTGTGCATATCTTGAAGTTTCTTTTGAAACGTTTGGTTTATCAGTCCGTAAATTTAACTCATATGGTGCTGCCTTGAATCAGGCTCTCTCGCAATAACACAAAGCTAGGCCTTTGGTTTGTAACATGATTTTGATACACAGCCTGTTTTCCTTTGCGCTAGCAACTCGGTGTATTAGCAAACACGAGAGGTGGAAGATTGAACTCCCTGTTAGCTGTTGTGCATGTAGTTGATCTCTGAATGACANAAGAGTTTATACGATTCTGATTTGATTAAGTTTGACTCGATTTCCAGGGAAATAAGTTGCACGTCGAAAACCGATCCTTTAAATTTTGAAGTTCAAAGTCGGAAGTCGGAAGTCGGAAGTCGGAAGTCGGAAATCAGAAGTCAGAAGTCGGAAGTCGGAAGTCGGAAGTCGGAACTCAGAAGTCAGAAGTCGGAACTCAGAAGTCGGAAGTCGGAAGTCGGAACTCAAGGGTCAGAAGTCGGAACTCAGAAGTCGGAAATCGGAAGTCGGAAGTCGGAAGTCCCTCCTCGGCTTTCGTAGGTCAGACCTGTATACAGACGCCCACTGTTAAGCTTCCATCGAAATGGTGCAAACTTTAAGTTGTTTCGACCGTCTGGACGATCGACTAATGCCTTACTTAAACTCGGAAAATGATGTCATTCTCGAGTGAAAAGGAACTAGGATTCTCAACAGGATAGCCAGGATAAATTAAATAACTCTAAACAGATTGTACATATCTTGAAGTTTCTTTTGAAACGTTTGGTTTATTAGTGCGTAAATTTAACTCATACTGTGCTGCCTTGAATCAGGCTCTCTCGTAATAACACAAAGCTAGGCCCTTGATTTGCAACATGATTTTAATACACAGCCTGTTTTCCTTTGCGCTAGCAACTCGGTGTATTAGCAAACACGAGAGATGGAAAATTGAATTCCCTGTTAGCTGTTGTGCATGTAGTTGATCTCTGAATGACATTCTTTGGGTGTATGCACGTTACCTTGAGACGTCAGCTTAAAAAAGGAATGAGTGGTGGTTGAAAACGGAAGAAGGTGAAGTGTGGAATATTTTATATCATAACTGAGTAAAGGGACAGTGTCTCGGCTGATCATCGAAAGTTCCATATTGCATTGCCTAATGTCACCAAATATAAAAACAAACTGAACAAAAAAAGCTTCTACTGAGCAAAACAGAACAAGTATTCGGGAAAGTATAGGATTAGAAGAAAGGAAGTGGATAACAGTTCAGCATATGCGACTTTGTAGTAAATGGTGTGTGATATCGTTTTTGGCTTCAGTTGAAAAGCCTTTCTGGTTCTTTTTCTTTCTACTGCCCGGCCAAACCAATCGATATACCAATCGCCGGGGACGCTGTTTCTGAAATAATTTTTTGAACCCACATTAATTCTGACGTAAGGACATAGGCGTAGAAGCCGGCTTGTATAAGAAAAGGAATTGCTTAGAGCTCAGAGCCACAAAAGAATATTTTGGCCATTTTTATGGTGTAATGTTATTAATCTAGGTGGCCTCCACTGTAAGCCTAGTGGTTTTTGGAAGCTTTCCTCGCGCTGTAATCGTATAGACGTCTTTTGTTATTGTTGTGGCAAATAAAGGAATGATGACGAAATACGTTTCAGTAGTACGTCTATGAATGAATCTCTATTTTCTGAGTTACTCAGCATGGTCAGGTTCAAATATTGCGACAAACATGGTTAGATTAAAAGGTCAGTTTATTATGGGTTTTTTTGCAGACCCACACAATGCAGTACTCCTCGGAACAATTAAACTTCTTCCGAATATGTTACGTAACGTTTAAACTAGTTCCGGACGGATT